TAGAAGAGGATTGGCATGCAGAGGCCTGACGTTCTTTTAAAGTTTTCTTGAAACACATCTACTTACTCCTTTACATATGTGCCCTGGGAAACCAGACAAGATCTTTGCAGCCCAGGTTGGTCTTGAACTCACAGTAGCTATCCATGTGGCCATCCTGCCCCCTATCCCTGTGTGTTATCATCCCCACATATCCTGTGCCTCAGCTCTCAGTGTTACGAGTGTCACCACACTTGACACTCTTTCCTTGGCATTGCACCCAGGGCCACAAGTCTGCTAGGTCAGTGTCCAACCATTGAAGTGTGAGCTCTATGACAACCTCACCCCCACCCCAGTTTTTTGTGGTGTTGTCATTAAGATAGGGGCTAGCTTTGACCTTGCAGTGTAACAAGTTGGCCTTGAGTTCATGATCCTCTTGTCTCCACTCCCTGGTGTCCAGCCTTTCTGTTTTATTTTGAGACAGGGTCTCATAAGGTCTCCAGCCTGGCCTGGAACCAATCCTCCTGCCTTAGCTTCCTGTAGCTGACATTACAGGCCATGTCACCAGGCCCAACTGCCCCGTCTCTCTCCGAACTTCTAATGTGACAAGCTCTTGAGCTTCCTGAGGACTGTACTGTGTGTTTGCTGGGGGTTTGCTGCTCAGGAATGCTCTGTGTTTGCTTTTGTTTGCTGGGTTTGCTTTCTGTTCACTGTGGGCATTTCTTCTGTTGCCACCATCACAGTGGGCCCTGGCTCACCCTCACTCCGAGTGATGATGAGTCTGGGCCCTCAGTGAGCTCAGATGAGGGAACCAGCTTCCAGAACTAATGTGTAAAGAAGTTTGGGCTCAGAGAGAAGCCCTGCAGGGCTTGCTGTTAGCAAAGCTGGGAGCCTGTGTGTGAGGAAGAGATCCCATTTGGCCGCCCAATGGGCGGAGACTGTTGGCTGGGGGACACAGTTCTCCGTGGGGCGTCCCTGTATGGCCTAGGCCAGGTCTGCTGTGGGTCCCTGGGACTCCCATGGCCTCTGGGAGTAACCTTGGCCTCCTGCTGGGCCCTCCTGGACGGTCACCTTTACACTTTACACTCACACCCTGCGCCCTGGCCTGCTGCCAGCCTGTTTCTTTCCCAGTGGCTGGAAACTGATTAGCTGGGTGGGAGAACAGGGGTGTCTTTGTGCAGGCGCAGTGTTTCTGAGAATGTAGAGCGAGCATTCAGAGGGAGTCTTAGGCCGTGCCAAATTATGCAGATTTGGGTTTTCTGGGTAGGGTTTCCCAGGAGCAGGCATGTAGGCAACTTGGTAGCCTTCTCAGTTTTGTGGTCTGGAATTTCCCTAGACATGTTACGCAGGCTTCTGCTGTTGGTTGTTCTGAAATAAACAGTTCAGTCCAAGACTAATCCTAACAGCTTTTATCAAGATTTTGCCAAAAACTTCGTCTTCGATGGATTTATTTCTCAAACCAAACTATAAAGCAAATTTCTGCCTAAGGATACAGCAGAGACTCCTTATGAGAGAGTATGGGTGGGGGGATGCCAAGGCACTCCTGCCCCCTGAGGCGCCCATACCTGACCCTCCTTGTGGGAACCTGGAAGTTACTGGCCCAGTAAAGAAACCAGGGTTCACCCTGGTTTTGTACTCCTAACACACTGGGCTGGGAACTGAAGGTAATGAGGGGGTTCCCTGACTGTGGGGCAGGTCCTGTGAGATGGTAGCTGGAGTTCTGCAAGACCCAGGCTGTCTGTAACCTCCAAGGAACGAGGATTTCCAACTAGCTATTTTGGGGGATGAAGGTGCACATGAGAAGTTTTCGGTTTTTGTTTGTTTTCGGGTTTTTTTTTTTTTTTTTTTTTTTTGAGACAGGGTTTCCCTGTGGCTTTGGAGGCTGTCCTGGAACTAGCTCTTGTAGACCAGGCTGGTCTCAGACTCACAGAGATCCACCTGCCTCTGCCTCCCAAGTGCTGGGATTAAAGGTGTGCGCCACCAACGCCCGGCGAGGTTTGTGTTTTTTAAGACAAAGTGTAGTGTAGCCTAGGGTGGCCTCACTGGGTAGCTGAGGACAGATGGCCTTGGGCTCCTGATTCTGCCTCCAATGTCCCAAGCCCTGTTCTCCTATTACTGAACTATATTTTGTGGGGGTTTGTTTGTTTGGTTGGTTTGTTTGTGTTTTTGGTGAACTGTATTTTGTTACTTGACCATTTTCCCAGTGAGTTTTGATTTGGGCTTTTGCTCGGTTGGTTCATCTAGGTTTTTGCTTTGTTCTTTGAGATAAGGTCCCTGGCACAGCCCAACCTGAGCTCAGTGTTCCCTCTGAGCCTCTCAAGCCTTAGGAGTCTAGGCCCCAGCACCAAGCCCAGCCCTGACGTGGCCTTCAGCTTGCCTGCTGCTCATTTCCTTTTCCTTGTTGCCCTTCATTCCCCAATGTTTCATCTGTGTTTTCCGCCTTGACTTTGTGACAGCGCTGTCTAGGGCTCTGTGTCTCTAGCATGTGACAGACCCGGCTGGCTTGAGGAATTAATTCAGCTGCAGGTGCACAATTAGACAGCACTGGCTTTTGTTGGCAACACTTTTCCCCCTCCCTATGTTTTGTGTGTGTGTGTGTGTGTGTGTGTGTGTGTGTGTGTGTGACAGTGCACATGGGAGAGGTCAGAGGACAGCTTGCAGGAGTTGGCGATCTCTACTTTATGGGCGGTGAGGCTCAAACTCAGGTCATCAGACTTGGCAGCAAGCACTAACCACCGAGCCATCTCACCAGCAAAAAAGCTGAAGTTTTACCTGAAAACTAGGCTTTCCATCATGGGGGGCAGGTGGGAGTATGTCAGGAATACGAAGTGATATTTAAACGTGGCAAGAGTTCCACACACACCCTCCCCTGTCTGTCTGTCTGTCTGTCTGTCTGTCTGTCTGTCTGTCTGTCTGTCTGTCTGTCTGTCTGTCTGTCTGTCTGTCTGTCTGTCTGTCTGTCTGTCTGTCTGTCTGTCTGTCTGTCTGTCTGTCTGTCTGTCTGTCTGTCTGTCTGTCTGTCTGTCTGTCTGTCTGTCACAGCGCTGGTGTCACACTTCTGCCTCTGCTGGAGTGAGAAGTGAGAGATCCAGAGCCGATGGGGCAGAAGGGAGTTTTATTTGCTGAGAGACAGCTGTTCTAAGTGTTTGCTTCTTGCTTCCCTTAATTAAGCAGTGAGTGCTGATGCGTGGGTTAGGTCCCTTCCCTGCCACCCCGCCAGCCTCTGGGGCTAACACTGAACCCAGGTCCTCAGCAGTTGAAGGCAAGTGCCCTTCCTGCCCGCCAGCCACACCCTGGCCGTCTCACTCTGATGATTTCCTTGGAATGAGTGCTCTTTCCCCTGTCCTTGTTTTGGATGTAATAAATATGCAGAGTGGAGGTGTTTTAATTAAATAAAAGAAACATAACTTATAGGGGCCGTTTTAAGCGGTCATATTGGAACAACTGTAATCCTAGTGCAGCAAAAGCAGAGACAGGGGATTGCTCCAGTTTGTGCCACTATTTGTTTGGTTGTTTTGGGGGATGGGATTTCTCTGTGTAATCCTTGCTATCTCCTGGAACTCACTCTGTAGACCAAGCTGGTTTGGAACTCACAAAGAGCCTTCTGCCTCCATATCCTGAGTGCTGGGATTAAAGGTGAGCGCCACCACTGACTGGCTACATGTAAATATTTTTAAATTAAAATATTTTTGAGAAGGTTTCATGTAGCCCAGGTCCATTATGTGGCTGAGTCTGCCCTTGAACTCCTGATCTTCCTGCATCTCCTACACAGGAGCTGGGATTGCAGAAGTGAAGCCACTATACATGGTTTAAGATGACTTACCTGTGTGTGTCCATGTGTGCCAACAGTGTACATAGAGGTCAGAAAATAGCATAGGGGTCCTGGGAAACCACCTCAGGTCATTAGGCTTGGCAACAATCACCTTTACTACTTACTAATCCATCTTGGGATCCCAAGCTGATTTTTAAAATGAGTTTGTAGGGGGTTGCTCAGAGGTTAAGAGCACTGACTGCTCTTGCAGAGGCCCCGGGTTCAATTACCAGCACCCACATGGCAGCTCACAACTGTTTGTAACAAGACATGCAGGCAAAACCTCAGTGTACATAATTAAAAAGAAAAAATTTCTTTAAAAAAAGCCAGGTGGTGTCAGCACACACTTTTAATCCCTGCACTTGAGAGGCAGAAGCAGTTTGGCTTCAAACTCTCTGCATGAGTTTGAAGCCAACCTGATCTACAAAGCAAGTTCCAGGACAGCCAGAGCTGTTACACAGAGAAATACTGTCTTGGAAGCAAGGGGGGGGGGGGGAAGGGGGGGCCCACTGGGGATTGTTTCTCTTCCTGTAATCCTAGCTCTTAGGAGGCTGGGGCAGGGGGGTTGCCTTGGGGACTCATCCTGTAATCCTAGCTCTTAGGAGGCTGAGGCAGGAGGATTGCCTTGAGTACAAGGTGGCAAAACCTCATAAACAAGAGATGGGATGAAGTTGTAGCCAGGAGTAGTGACATACCTATACCCATAGTTCAGTGTCTCAGCTGTCTGGGTGACTGAGGCCAGCCTAGCAGTGTGAGACTCTCCTGAGAAAAGGAATGAGGAAATGTGAGCCTGTCAGATCTACCACCATTATTGTGTTGATGTTGGTGTTTTGTTAGTTTTTAGATTTGGGCACGGGTTTCGCTCTGTAACCCAGGCTGGCCTCAAGCTGGTTATATAGCTCAGGCTGGCCTCGAACTTGAGATCCTCCTACCTTTTCTGCCTTGGACTCCTGAGCACAGGGATGACAGATGTGTGGACCATGCCTGGCTGTATCACAATTTCACTGGCCAGTTAATGTTCAGTAGTCAGTGACCTTTGAGGTGTGTCTGAGAGGGCCCTCTAGTGTTTTCTTTACAGCGTGGCAGTCACGGTTGCAGTCCTTGTGGTCAGGCTGATTTTGATGCAGCATGTATGTCGGCTGGTGTGATCCTTTGTGGGCAGATGTTTTGCAGCTGTTTGTAACCATCTTGTGTCTGTTCTCTCCCCGGGCAGAAGAAGCTGACTACAGTGCCTTTGGTACAGACACCCTCATCAGGAAGAAGAACGTGCTGAGCAACGTGCTGCGTCCCGACAACCACAGGAAGAAGCCGCACATCGTCATCAGCATGCCCCAGGACTTCCGGCCGGTGTCGTCCATCATAGATGTGGACATCCTCCCGGAGACCCACCGGAGGGTCCGGCTGTACAAGTATGGCACGGAGAAGCCGCTGGGCTTCTACATCCGAGATGGCTCCAGTGTCCGGGTGACACCACATGGCTTAGAGAAAGTCCCCGGGATCTTCATATCCCGGCTGGTCCCCGGGGGTCTGGCCCAGAGCACGGGACTGCTAGCTGTCAATGATGAGGTTTTAGAAGTAAACGGTATAGAGGTGTCGGGGAAGAGCCTGGACCAAGTGACCGACATGATGATAGCCAACAGCCGCAACCTCATCATCACCGTGCGGCCAGCTAACCAGAGGAACAACGTGGTGAGGAACAGTCGGACTTCCGGCAGCTCCAGCCAGTCCACCGACAATAGCCTCCTGGGCTACCCACAGCAAGTGGAAGCCAGCTTTGAGCCAGAGGACCAGGACAGCGATGAGGACGACATCATCATTGAAGACAGTGGCGAGCCACAGCAGATCCCAAAGGCTGCCCCGGATGCCCAGAGCCTGGAGTCCCTGACGCAGATAGAGCTCAGTTTTGAGGCGGGGCAGAATGGGTTCTCCCCTCCACAGGACCCGGTGCCTGTTCCCAGCAACCTGGACACAGAGTTTGGACCCCGTGCTCCGGACCAGAGGCTCTTAGAGGAAGATGGAACGATCATAACGTTGTGAGCATGCTGAGTCACGTGTGTTTTCCAAGTGCTGTAAATGTGGCACAAGACTGACACTGTGGCCCTCCGGGCCTCTGTTCCACCTGCGATTCTAAAGTGTGGCTGGGATGGGGCGGCTGCCACGGACTGCGACAATGTAGGTGTGAGGCCTTTGCTGCTCTCTGCAACACTGGCTGCTGCTCCTGCCGGAGTCCGTGTTTCTACGGCCCTGCAGAGCCGTTCGCTTGTGCTCTGTGAAGTCTGATGTCTCCTTGGTCTGTTGGGAACCTCACTCAGTTCTCAGGTTCCCAACAGTGATATATTCTGACTTTTAGCAATGTTCCTCTGTTAATCGTGACAAATTATTTTTTCATGTGCAGTTTTTATTGTTTTCCTGTTTTCCAAGACTTTAACTAGCTGGTCATGTTTAGGGGTGCTTCCCACTACCCCGCCCTGGAGCACCCCCATTGTTGTCTCCATCCTGTAGCTTCAGAGTTGCAGGGTGCCTCAGTCCTACTGACTGCCCTTTAGCCTGTTAACTTCCTTACCCCCAATCCAGTGGAGATTGTTCGTGTGTGTGTGTGTGTGTGTGTGTGTGTGTGTGTGTGTGTGTGTGTGTGTATAAGAAGACTTCATGAATTTGAGAGGTAGTGGGGAGGGGAGGGGAGTGTTGTGTAGTTAGTGTGTTCCACTCTCTCAGTGTACCAGGCAGTGTGGATCATGTTGGATAAAAAGGACCCAGGTTAAGAGACAAACAGGACAAATGTGCACTTTTTATACAAAAGATGGAGTTTTTCTTCCTGGGGATTCTAGGATGCTGCCTCCACTTCAGGAAGCCTGTGTCAAGTTCGCCACCCAAAGGGGTGTTAATTATGAGTTATTTATTCTCTTCTGCATCCATTCAGGAAGAGGGAGCAGCAGTTATCCCCCCTCACCTGATGCCGTCGTGTTGCATGCACAGGCACCAAGATCCACACGTGTGGACTCACACTTCCCAATCCCCAGGCGGACAGTTATTTATTACTTAACTTTATGGTGGGGCAAGTATGGACGCCTCACATTGTGTACTATTACAACAGCGAAGACTCCGAGTTGAAGGACGTATTTTCTCTACAGTAAGAGCCGGCAGAAATGAAGTCTTGATCCAGTGAGGGGAGTTGGACTCAATCAGTGCTGAACACGTTCTTTGCAGACGCCTAGCTGAGGCTGGTGCAGCAGCCCAGTGACTTTGTGTTGAATTCACGAGTTCTTCCTCACACAGCACCACTTGCTGACAGCGTTCTAGCTCTCACACCGTGAGTGAGTCTTCGCAGTAACGTTAGGTTAGAAGGCTCAGTCCTGTTCCTGAGCTCAGTGGCACATGGGTTCAACTTTGTAAGTACAAATACTTCCATATACTACCTCTCTCTTCTCTCTCTCTCTCTTTTTTTTAACAGAGTTTTAACATTAGAGCTTTTCTCTTGAGGAAAAACTTCAGGGCTTGACTTTTGTACAAATTTTAACTGTAAAACACAGATTTATCTTCCGTCTGAAAATGGAGAGCAAAGCTGCTGACGCCTGTCTTAACTTAAGGACAATAGTGTTTGCACCAAGGTCTTACTGATGAAGTAAGCAAGCCTTGGCTATGGGAGTCCAGTCCCGCTAGCTCGGTTCTTATGCACCTTAAGACAAGAACCGGAGCCTTAGCAGCTCAGCCTGCAGTCTGTTGTCGAGAATGTCAAGCCTCACTGTGAACTCTTCTGTCCTTAGTCACCTATGTCAACAAGATGCTGTGCTGTGTGAACCATGAATTTTCTAATTAAATTTTACATGCTATAACATGATTTTTACATGAATGATACTTTGTTTAAACTATCAAATGTCAGTATTTTACTACAATTTTATTATAAAATGTACATTATCACTAAATGAACTTTGATTTTAAAAATCAAGTTAGCTTTAGTTACATATTATTTTTTACAAATAAAAATGGACTTGTATAAAGGCTACTTTCTTGTTTGAAATTATATGAGAAGGGTACCTAAGCATATTTACCAGGCACATATTAGGTACATAGAGGGAAACTGAGTCACAGATGGTTTACTGACTTCCCTTTACCGTGCTAAGGGCTGAGCACATGGTCCCACAGTTACCACATCCCCACCCCAAGCCACACACCAAACCTCACCCAATAGTCCAGGCTGGCCTCAGACTGCTGGCACTCAGTCCCCGTAGCTGGGATTACAGGCACACGCCATTGTGCCAGTTCCCTGGGGTTATTGTTTTCTGTGTTTTAATTTTAGGATAGGTACTGTATCATGCCTTTATTTAATCCTAGCACTTTATTTAATGCCTAGGCAGAGGCAGTTGGATCTCTGTGATCTCACTGTAGACCATATGCTATGTAGATAAAGTGTTTATTTTATGTATGAGCACACGTGTGTTTGTGTATGTTCCACAGCTTGCTTGTGAAGGTCAGAGGACGGCTTGTAGGAATTAGTTCTCTCTGCCTTCTGTGCACTGAGTTCTCAGAGGCCTATGCCCGAATGTCAAAGGGTACACTTTGGTTTTCTCTTTTGAATTTTTGTGACTTGATTTCAGTTTTTTTAATCTGGGGGCAGTTGTTTTGAGAAAGTTTCCTGTTGCCCCAGGCTGGCTTTGAACTTGTGAAACTAGTTTGCTCCTCTTCCTCCACTCCCAGGCATTGGTATTACAGGCATTTGCCACTAGCCTTGGATTCTTTCTTGGGTTTGGGCTGGGAACTTGATACGTGACCAGGCTGGCCTTGAACTCACTGAGACCCACCTGCCTCTGCCTCCTGAGTTCTGGGATTAAAATCATGTGTCATTACATATGGCCTCTTTATTTTTTTGAGATCTCGCTACGTAGCCCAGGTTGGCCTCGAACTCAGCATTGTCCTGACCCCTGGCTCCTAAGAAGCTGGGGTTGGTTTGGAGATATTTTGTGGGGAGGGGTGAGTGGGTCAAAGTGTGTAGAGTGCAAAGGATAGCTCTCAGGAATGAGTCCACTCCTGCAACATGGGTTGCCGGGACCCATGATCTCAACGGCAAGCACTTTTACCACCAAACCATCTAGCCAAGGCAATATGGTGTGAATATTCCTAAGTGCTGTTTATGGGTGAGTTTCTAGACCTGGCGATTACCTCCATGGCCCTGCACTGAATCATGCCCTGCCCCACCCCAGTGTGTGGGCAGCATGGTGGCCATGGGCCTGCACCAAGAGGCTCTGTTTTGGGAGTTTGGGGATGGGGGTAATTCCAAAGCCAGTGAAATTTCCTGGCCTGTGGAACTGAATAGCTGAGACTAGGATTTCTGGTTTTTAAATTTGTGTGTGTGTGTATTGTGTATTTATAATTTTTTTTTTTTTTTTTTTTTTTTTTTTTTTTTTTTTTTGAGACAGGGTTTCCCTGTAGTTGCCCTAGCTATCCTGGAACTTGCTTTGTAGACCAGGCTGGCTTGGAACTCACAGAGATCCGCCTGCCTTTTCCTCCCAAGTGCTAGGATTAAAGGTGTGCGCCACCACTGCCTTTAAGTTATATTTATTAACGTGGGTATACATGAGCACTTACAAGTGACACCTTGTGGGAGAGGTTGAGCCCCTGAGGCACGCTGGCAGAGCCATCTCACCTGAGGGTTTCTCACACTGCTATCTGATAGCTCTGTATTTCAGGATGTGCAGAGTGGCCAGCCTGGTATGGCTTCTGCATGTTTAAGATGTAGACAGTAGAGACTGGAGAGAGAGCTCAGCAGTCAAGAGCACTTCCAGAGGTCTTTGGCTGGATTCCCAGCAACCACATGACAGTTACAACCATCTAACTCCAGTTCCAGGGGCTCTGACACCCTCTTCTCACCTCCACAGGCACCAGGCACGCACATGGGTCACATATACACATACAAGCAAAACACATACCAATAAAAATTTTTTTAAAAAAGCGCCGATAGGATTTGCTGAAGGAGGCAGGTCAGCCTGGTGGTGGTGGTGCACATCTTTAATCCTGGTGCTCTGGAGGCAGAAGCAGGCGGATTTCTGTGAGTTCCAGGCCAGGCCAGCCTGATCTACAGAGTGAGTTCCAGGACAACCTCCAAAGCAATACAGAGAAACCCTGTCTCGAAAAACCAAAACTAAAATAAAATAAATTAAAAACAAAATAATGGGGCTGGAGAGATGGCTCAGAGGTTATGAGCACTGGTTGCTCTTCCAGAGGCCCTGAGTTCAATTCCCAGCAACCACATGGTGGCTCACAGCCATCCATTATGAGATCTGGTGCCCTCTTCTGGTGTGCAGATATACATGGAAGCAGAATGTTGTATACATAATAGATAAATAAAATCTTTAAAAATAATAATAATATAGACAGTGCACCCAAAAGATGTCCAGCATTGTGTTAACTGATTGAGAACATTGATGGCTGCCAGACCCAGTAGCTCAGGCCTGTCATTCCAGCTATGGGATAGGCTGAGACAGGAGGATGGCAAGTTCAAGGCCAACCTGGACTTACACCCCATCTCAAAAGTGCACAGGTCTGGAATGGCAGTTGTAGGGAGCTAACCTAATATGCAAAAAAGTAAATGGGGCACCGAGGCAATGCTTCTTTTGGGAAGGGGCTCACCACATAAGGACCTGAGTTCAGATCCCCAGCTCCCACGAAAGAGCCAGCCAGGTGTGGCTGTATAGCCCTTCCTGGGACTGGTTGACCAGTCACTTTAGTGGAATCTGCTCCTAATTTAGCAAGAGACCTGGTCTCAGAAAAGCAAGCTGGAGGGCCAGCAAGATGGTTCAGTGAATAGAGGTGATTGCTGCCAACTTTTTATTTTTTATTTTATTTTATTTTATTTTTTTGTTTTTCGAGACAGGGTTTCTCTGTGTAGCTTTGGAGCCTATGCTGGCACTCACTCTGGAGACCAGACTGGCCTCGAGCTCACAGAGATCCGCCTGCCTCTGCTTCCCGAGTGCTGGGATTAAAGGGGTGCGCCACCAACGCCTGTCGATTGCTGCCAACTTTAGCAATCTGAGTTCAGTCCCCAGAACCCACATTCTGGAAGGAGAAAGCCATCTCCCTCAAGTTGTCCTTTACCACACCTGTGCAATGCCATGTGTGCGCACACATGCAAAGTCTTTGTTGTTTTTGTTTTTGCTCTTGGAGATGGTCTCTGTGTGTAGACCATACACAGGAATTCACTCTGTAGACCAGACTGGCCTTGAAGTTACAGAGATCCATCTGCCTGCGGAGCACTGGCATCCAAGTGTGCGCCACCACACCTGGCACAAATTGTTAAAAATAAACGTTTAAAGAAAAATAAGATGGAGAACAATTGAGAAGACATTCAGTTGTCAACCTTAGGCCTCCACACATATGTTTTCCTATGCATATGTACACTGCCACATATATGAACATGTGCACGCCACACACATGATCTGGAAATAAGTGGCCGTGAGTGGCTGGTGACTGCAATCTAGGTGACCTGTAGAGACTCCATCCTATTCTGCTACTCAGTGTCCTTGGCTCACTCTGGGCCTGCACCAAACAAGCCCAGTGACTTCATTGCCCTCACCTTCCTCGCAGCAGGGTGCTAGTCTCGCAGGAAGAAGGGCTAAGCAAAGGTCCAGTACAACAAAAGCACC